TACAATCAATCGAAACTGGAAGTTGAGAAAATGAAGCAACAATTGGAATTGAACCAGACGAAGATGGCGACTTTGGAATAGGAAAAGAAGACGATGAGTGACCAATTCAGAGTGAAAACAGAGGAAATGCAAGGGGAGATCAACACTCTGAAGGAGGTTGCAAAGAAATTGGAGGAAGAATTGGTCAGCGTTCGACGGCCACAAGGGTCAATTGAAGGTTCAATTGGCGAATTGGAACAGAAGGTGAAGCAACAACAATACCAATTAGAGGCGAAAGACACCCAAATTCTGCAATTGGAAAGTCAAATCTGTGAATTGGGAGCACTTAATGAAGATTTAACAGCCAGATTGAACATAGTCCCAATAAATGTATCAGACGAGGAAGACGAAGAAGTGACTTTAGAATTGTAATCAGTAGCAATGAGTATGGGAAATGCTAAGGAGTCACCAGTTCAATTTCAAACTGGTTGTTTGCGAGGACGTTGCACAGTTAGGAGTGGGGCTATGTAGAATAAGTAGTTATTTGCTGATTTGTAGATACTTAGTTTATAGTGTAAACAGGGATAGATGACTGTTAGAAAGGTAGTTCAGTAGTTAAAATGGATGAATAGTTAGGAAAAGCAGTTTTCATTAGAGATGTAGGAGTTGGCATCTTGTGGTAAGATAAGGAGGATGAGAGAGAGGAAGAAACCACCATTACTGTGATAGTATGAGCCGGGGTAAGCTTGGTGCTACCTCTTTTCTTTTGTTGTTATGTTCTTTGAAATAAGAGTATTGAGAGTTTCTGAATATTGTGAAGTGAATCATGGAATGAAAGTGTGAATGGAATTATATGTTATTGAATGAGAAGAAGAGAGATTGAATGTTGAAATCTGAATGTAGTTCAGCAGAAAGAGTGAATCTGTGGTTGTGTGAAACACTGTAATGTGAATGGTAGTTCTGTGTGAAGAATTCCAGTAATTGGAATGAGGGTAATTATGTGCTGAAGCTGTGATGTTGAGGTATTATAGTTGGAGATTATAAGAGTGAAGATATATTGGTGGAAATAACAGTTATTGGTATGACTGAATTGTTGCAAGGAAGAGAGTGATAAGGTGAAAGGAGAGATTATTGTTTTCCTATGTGCTTAGACAATGGAAATAGTGACGATACATTGGAGGTAATTAATTGTGTGACCCTAACGTGAACGCTCAAGCAACTAGTCACTCCCCGTGTTCGAATTCCCCTATATGGGTTTATTCTAGGAAGTTTCTTCCGGAATAAGTAAAACGAGAAATCACAATTATATATATATATATATATAAAAACTTCTATACTTAAAATTTGTATTGAAAAAATATTTTATAATAAATTCTATGCAAATCTATAATAAATTTTATATTACTTGAAAATTAATAAAAATATTTGTTTGAATTTTTAGTTTATTTTTTTATAATTTATATATGTTTTAGAATATATATATATATATATATATATATATATATATCTATATATATATATCTATATATATATATGTATGTGTGTGTGTGTGTGTGTGTGTGTGTGTGGTTGATACTACAAGTACATCCCAAGTTGTTATATGTACACCCATTACATCTATACATACATCCAAGGTCTTTTATTGGTTCATCTAGGTCTCTTTTTTCTTGTCTCTTTTTTCTTGTTCCTAATTCCTTCCTTCTCTCCTTTGCCTTAGTGCAGGTCCTAATTCTCTTTCTTTTCTTACTTACCTTGGCACAATATAGTAGCAACCATCATTGCTAACTTATACAAGCAGCATTAGAATTGGTAGAGAAAGTATTAAGTTGCCCTAGTTGGATCTATTAGGCTTGAAATTAATCAATATTGGAAGTGAAGTAGTAGCATGATTTAGCATAATTATGATGAAATTGCAAACACAAGATCATTGAAAGGTATACTATATTTCTATATGATTGAATCTTCACCTTGTAGAGGTGATAGTTTCTATGCCATTATTTAGGTTCATAAATCATCCACAATCTCTTATTCATTATTACATCTTTAAAAATTGGAGTGGTTTAAATAATAATTTAGAGTCATCTTTAATGAATCATGTTTTATTTAAATGATATTTTCTATAAAACAAGTCTTTAGAATGTTGACTAAGTAGTCAAGAGCTTGAATAACTCATTGAAAGGAATGTCGTGCTGATTGAAGTAAAGTTTTGGATTTGATTAGCTAACCAAAGTACTAACAAACTATTATATTTTATTGCTAGATTGTAAAGAAAACAATAGAAAAACATTGAGGGATGTTAAGACAAGAGATGAGGTAGTAAAGTACTCCAAATTTATACAAATAGTTGATTTGATGAATGAATTAGAATTTGTATAATATGCATCATTCTTTGTTGTCATTTTGAAGATGAAGATTATGTAATTTTCTTGAGCTAAATCCAAAAGAAACTTATTAAAGAAATAGATGCATATGCATGATCAATTATAATATGGACTTAGAGTTGTAAAAGACACCGACTTGTAAGAGAGGCTAGGACTTGTGCTGAGGCAAGGAAGATAAAGAGAGTGGCTAAAACTTACTATTGTATAATGTGAATTTTAGCTTGAGAATACACCATACATCTAGTTGTAGAAGATAAATAGAAAAATGCAACAACAAGATTCTAAAAAGTCTAATATAATCTTGAATAAATTCTAATTAAACCTTAATAACTTAATCAAACTTTAACCAATTCAAAAGAAGTTTGAAAGAAATTACTAAAGAAATATAAAAAAGTCATAAATTAATTTAAAATAATAATAATAATAATAATAAATTTTAAAGAAATAAAAGAAATATTTTTAAATATTAAAAATATAAAACTTAAAAATAATAAAGAATATTTTTAAAATATTAAAAATAAAAATCTCAAGTAAATCCTAATTAAATATTAATGTATTTTTTTAAAAAATCTAATAATCCTAAAGAAATTCTAATGAAACTCTAATAAAATCTTAATTAAATCCTAACAAAATTTTAATTAAATCATAACCAAATTCTAACAAAATCTAATCAAATCTTAAATCAAATCCTAATTAAATCCTAATTAGATCTTAATAAAATTCTAAGTAAATCCAAAAGAATCTTAAGTAAATCCTAATCAACTCTTATAGTTGTTTTAAATTTTCAATAACTATTAATTGAACCATTAATCTTAACTAAAATTTCACAAATATTTCAATCAATAAAAAAATAAAAAATATATAAAATTTATTTTTTTTAAAAAATTGCTTATGTATAAATAATTAAGTCCAAATTTCTGTCATTAAATTTTTCTTTAATCTAACAAGCAGATATCTTAAGATTGCAAAAACTCTTAATGATCGTAAATTTCAAATATCTAAAATTCTAATCTAATAAAACTCTCATATCCTTTAGTCTAACAGTTTGATTGACATCAAATTTGTGAAATATATTCAAGACAAATATAATGACAAACTTACAAATTTCACTTGTAAATTTATCAAGTTATTAACACAATCCTTAAATTTGTTAATCTTTTTTATATTTAAAAATCCAATGCCATTGAGAGCATCTCTTACTTTGAAAAATCCTCAAAAACTCAATAAGTATTCAAATCACTTGAAACCAATGCTTTAACAACCTTTTTAAAGTTTTTTTCCATAACTACACTCTTTGATCAACAACAAAAATTCCAAAATTGATGTATGTACATGGTTTTGTACTTTAGGATCTAATTTAGACATTGATTCATAATTGGTCCTCTTTGGATATCAATTCTAGATATTTTAAGTTAAGTTTTGCTAAAATCTATTTTTAATTCCATCCTAAAGATATTTATATGATGTGTTTTCTTAATTAATTTTATTTTTCTTTATTTATGGCCTTACAAAGAAAGTAGAAGTATTTTATTTATTAAAAGACAATATTGATATTAAAAGTTTTTATTACCTTTTTATCATTTATCCATGTTTTACTACTATATCTTTCTATTAGGCCATTTTAAAAGAAATCCATATTTTTATCTTTCACCATATAGTCATTTTACTATACAATACCATGCTAAGATAAGAAAGAGAGGAAAGGAATCCAAGATCCATGCCAAAACATATGAGAGAAGAAGGGGGATTAGAGTCCATGCAAGAACAAAGAAAAAGGGATCTAAATGAGCTGATTAGGAGCCTTGGGTGTATGTATAGACATAATGGATATGTGTATGGCAACTTTAGGTGTGATTGTAGCATGAGCCTATATATATAGAAAAATACACACATACAAAAATACATGCACACATATGATATTATAATAATATGATCATTTTATATTAAGTGAAGTTATTTATAATTTTATATTTTACCAAATTAATTAAAAAATGATTGCATTTTTTTTACAAAAGTTGCTGAAAAAAACTCGTATAATTTTTTTGAAGTTAGAAACATTATTTAGAAGAAACTTCTGTGATTATTCAATATGCCATGCAACTTTTTAGATCCAAGAAAGTTCCATAACTAAATTCAAAGGAAAAAAAATTAAGTTATTTCAGACTCACAACATGCTTCATAGAAAATTCCCAAAATGTTGCACTGAAAAAAGATGCCATGAAGGGCAACGATGATGAAATCCAGTGTTGCTATTGCTGAATGTAATTTGGTCTAATATGGAATATAGGTTGGTTTCCTCTCCACGAGAACCTGTTCTAACGTCGTCGTCCATTGACATCACCTCCAACGTCCATCCCATAACATTTGGCAGCGATGGACAAGTCTCCGTCCTTCCTACGACGGATTCAGTCCAACAAACGAACGACAACGAAATAGTGCAACGTGCGTTGGTCAAGTATGGTCAGCTAACTCCGTCGCTGGTAGGCTGAGGGAGGGGGGAGTTCCCAGTCGCCAAAGCAGACGACGGACTGGAGGATAATGTGACGGACTAGTGGATGATGCAGATTTATGCAAGACGTTCGTTCGTTTGTTCGTCAGGGGAACTGGAAAGAAAGTTCTACAGGTCTTTTTCACCGTAGTAGTACCGATTGTGCCAGAGATCCTTTCCAGGTGTGCTCGGTAGCTGGTTCTCGAATCCGCTGAGGGCTGGGTTCATGGTCATCACCATGGCTGAATTGCCGGTCTAGCGTCCGCACGGTGACGAAGCTCTCGTCTGCACCCGCCGCTCTGCGACTTCGGGCGGGATTTGTGCAAATTTTGAGACAGTTTGGTGCGTTAAGGGGTTCAGGCGTTCTTGTTGGTTTTTGCAGGATGAGGGTTTGTGAGAGGCGATGATGGCGGATGTGGGAAGGGATCAGGTTAGTGTTGCGGAGACGATAGGTAGCTTGGAATGGGGGATTTTTGGAAGCGCAGGAATGGGGGAGAGCAGGTTACGAGGTGATTACAGCTGCAGTGAGTTAGGGCAAGATGGGATGGGCGAGCTGGAAGGAGCTCAAAATAATTGGAGAGAAGGTGAGGCAGATGTCGAAGATGGCAGTGAGCCGGTGCGGGACGAGACGGATCAACGTGATGTTTACCTCGATGAACTTTTAAGCGTCATTGAGGATGATCCCGATTCGGTGAGGGTCTTTCTCTCACGTCGTTCTCATTTCTTATTAATGTTTCGGAATTTTAGGGTTTTTTTAATTTTTAATTTTTTAAATTTTTTTTCTCCCTTTTGAGGGACTACTGGTTCTTGTGGCAGAAATGGTTTTAGGCCACGCAAGCTAACACGCCTTGATTTTTCGCAAGGCGCAGGGCTTTCATTGTAACATATTGCAGCGTGTATTGCGAATTCCGCCAGGTCTTGAGAGCAGATCTGGAGAGAGCTGCAGATCTTGCAGTTACGATCTTGAGTTTGAAGTTTATGCTCCGCTTACCATACTAGGTAACTCTTTCTGAGACATTGTGGATTTTTGGAGTTTCTCCGCAGGCTGCACCGAGGTTCCAGGCAACCTCTGCTATGGATGAAGTGCTAGAGACAGATGGGACAATGCCTCTTCTTGGTCCAGCTGTCTCGCATCAAGAGTTGGGGATTGCACCGTATGCACCTGCTGTGCCCGAGGGACATTATGGTCTATCACTGGCGCCTTCATTTAATCATACCACCTCAGAAGTCTTCTGGCAGCGCGATTTGAATGGGAGTGGAGAAGGTTAGATCTCACAGGATTCACTGCATTTGTCACATGCCCCCTTTGACAGTCGATACACCTGTTTCCCTTTAATTCTTTTATTTTAACATTAAAGGATTGACGACGAATACCTAAGCACCTCGTTGTGACCGAACGTAAATTACATGCAATCTTTCTCCTTTTGGTTATTTATTTATTTATTCAATTATTTGTCCTGACTGAAGAGAAAACCCCAATGCTACAGTATTCTTTGACTTATTATCGTATTTTCCAAGCATCTATCTATGGCACACATGAATATCAGTCGTTCAACATTTAGGGCGGAGAAACCGTAATAGGCTAGATTTTAATTAAGTCATGCATTACTATCCAAGCTCAACTTGATGGAACGCTGACTCTTATGTTCTTTCTTGCATAGCAGGTTTTGAAGAGACTTCAGACGAGGTGCTTTCTTTAGAGGATACAGAGCAGGACACGATTCAGTATTTTCCAGAACTGACTGGAGATCTTGATTATGACAGGCCGCAGCAGAATGATGGATCTGTATTGGCTTCGAACTGCTACTCAGAAAGGCTTTCACCTGGGGTGTCGAGACCGAGTCGTTCCACTTCCAGTTCGCCAATTGCCATGTTTGACAATACCTCAAGACATGGATTAGTGTTCGATAGTCCGTTTGAGCGGAACAGCATAGTTGAAAACCCTAGGCAATTTACCATCCTCAATGGCCATGCCATTGTGGATCTTACCAGTGATGACAGCGATGGTGATGAGGAGGAGTCTGAGCTGAAGGAGATAGATGGGAGATCGCGAGGCAAACGGAAATTACCTCACGATGAAACTGAAGGTGATAGAAAGCGGCTACGAGAAACTGCCAATTCGTCTTATATGCAAAATATTGGTACCGGGTTTCCCTACACGCAGATTGCGAAGAAGCCATGTGAAACGATTTCTTTTCCAAACAGATCTCAGTCATGGAGTCCTAGCTCTCTCAAGTATTCTTCTCAATTAGGTAATCTTGAGTCCTCTGTGACCACCGCCACATCTTTAAAGAATATTCCAGGTTATGAATCTCACAAAACTACTTCTGCGAGGAGAGATACTTACACTAGTAGTTTGACAAATATGGCGCAAAGGAGTTGCTCAGGGGAAGTGAGCACATCGTACGATAGAGGAATATCTAGGGTTTTACCTGGGACCGTGGCAAGATCTATGGCAGGATTAGTCAATGGAATGCGTGTTGCTGCTACAATAGATCATCGTCTAGCTCTTGCAATGGATCCTGTGAAGCGGAGCGAGGAGTTAGCTATCCAAGCTGTTGTCCAGGTATTGTTTACTGCCTAGCTACCGCCAGTTTTTAAAATTTTATTGTTTAGCTCTTTAGCATTGATACAGATTGGGGTGATCGTCCTTAGTGATATTGCATTAAAAGGCAACGTCACGAAACCAGTCTTGTATATTTCTTCTAATTAATTCCTTGAACTTGACAGGCTTTTTCATTGGGAGATGAGAAGGAAGAGCTTACTCCTGATGAAGACCTTTTAACTATGACACTCCTCAAGCATCAGGTACTAAGAAGTTAAAAGTTGTGGTCATGTTGTGCACTACCAGTTATTCTGAAATGTATTCGTTATGTTTTCTACTTTAAAGTTGTTATTAGTCTTACGTGATCTCTTGCTTCAAAATTTGTGCTGCAGAGAATAGCGCTGGCGTGGATGGTTAATAGAGAAAGTGGAAGACATGAACCTTGTGGAGGCATTTTAGCGGATGATCAGGTGAGCCTTCGTGACAACTCTTTGTACTGTATCTTTTTATCTAAAAAGGCATCTATTTTGTGATACTGTTCTTGCACCTTTTTTTTTCTAACTTCTTAAATAATCATGACTTATCAATTCTAATTGCTGCCAGGGTCTCGGAAAAACAATCTCTACTATTTCTCTCATCTTGAAGAATAGAGCTCCGATTCTAAAATCAGGATCAACCAGTGCACAGTCTGTTCAATTAGAAGGTTCGACAGTCGATCTGGATGCTTACGAAGACGATGAAGACCAGCTACTGCTCAAAAAGGAATTCGAAAATGGACAGTGGCCAGCATCTGCTCTTATTGAAAATGGCAATCAGCTACAGCAGGATGAACCTAAGTCCAGCCAACCATCGAGCAAAGGCAGGCCAGCTGCGGGGACACTTGTTGTGTGCCCTACAAGTGTTTTGCGTCAGTGGGCGCAGGAGATCAGGGACAAGGTCTCTATTAAGGCAGACGTATCAGTGCTAGTTTACCACGGGAGCAATCGAATCAAGGATCCACATGAAATTGCGAAGTTTGATGTGGTGCTTTCTACTTACTCAATTGTGAGTATGGAGGTTCCCAAGCAGGCACTACCTGAAGAAAAAGAGGTAGACAATAGGAGGAGTGCTTTTGACTATGGGATAAGTCAGTTCACAAAACCCAAGAAAGATAAACCCGAGAAGGTTAAGAAGGCAAAGGCCAAAGGCAAAGGAGCGGGGGCAGATGGTGACAGTTCTGATTCTGGTCCTTTGGCTCGTGTTGCTTGGTTTAGGGTTGTTCTAGATGAAGCTCAGAGTATTAAGAATTATAGAACTCAGGTTGCACGTGCTGTATGGGGTCTCCGAGCTAAGAGGCGATGGTGTCTCAGCGGGACTCCTATCCAGAACTCAGTAGACGACCTTTTTAGCTACTTCCGCTTTCTCCGTTACTCTCCATGGGGAGATGTTTATAAGAAGTTTCAGCGTGATATCAAGGATCCTGTTGGGAGGAATCCAACCGAAGGCTATAAAAAGCTTCAAGCAATTTTGAAACCAATTGTTTTGAGGCGTACCAAAAGTAAGCGTTGTGCTTCTACATTAAGATCGTTAGCTTTTTCATGTAATGGCAAGTTCATGAGGGTTTATGTCTGGTTATGATACTCTTCCTTGAAGGTTATGTTTCATTAAACAGGAAGTTTTTCCGAGAGTTTTCGGGATCTAGAGGCTGTTGGTAACTGAATTTTCCAAGTTATGATTCTCTTTACCTTTGTGGCGGGGATTCTTGCGGTTTGATTAACTTTTATATTGGTAATGAGGTTTGTAAATATCATAGCCTGGATTGTTTTATTGCAGCTTCTTTTCTCGACGGAAAACCTATTGTCAATTTACCTCAAAGAATTGTAAAACTTCAGCAAACAGAATTCAGCTTGAATGAGCGCTCCTTTTACTCCAACTTGGAGACAGAATCACGGGCTCAGTTTCAGGTCAGTTTTTTTTGGTTTTTGCATGTTTGTGTTTGTTTTCTGTTTTTTTTGTGTATTTTTTTGTATGATCTAGGGTTATTAGATGCCTACATTTAGCATTAGCAGTAATCTATGGGTTTTTATGTTATTTTTTTCAAAATTAATGGCGTATGATTCACAGTTATGGATAATTCATAATGAGATTTCAAGGCTCTCCAAATACTTCAGGAATTGAGGAGTTCCGTTTTGATTTTATCGAAGGTTATCTCATCATAATCTGAATGTGGTCAATTTGCAGATGTATGCTGCTGCAGGAACTGTGCAGAATAACTATGTGAACATTCTTTGGATGCTGCTACGGCTGCGCCAGGCATGTGATCATCCCATGCTTGTTAAGAAATGTGCGAAAAGTGAAGCTTTACAAAAAACAACACTAGAGGCAGTTCGAAAGTTGCCACCTCATCAACGTGCTGCACTTATTCAGTGCTTGGAAGGTGGTAGGGCAATATGTTACATCTGCCAGGTTTGTTCTTTGAATCTTTGTGTTCTATGGAAATCATGAGTTGTTGGGAACATCATGCTACTCTTGTTTCTCCTTGTCGAGAATAATTCATAGAAGGTCGACAACGGAGTGTTGCAACTAATTTCTGAATCCCCAAAGCAGTCCGAGGTGATGATCTCTGTTGCTTCCCATTTGATTCATTTCTTCGTTGTAGACTGGAGTATAACTTGGTCCTCGTTGTTGTGAGAAGATTTGGACGATCTAGATAGTGAGCACACCATGATTGCATATCCTCATGTATCCATCGTTTTCTGCGTGGTGTTTCCAGGATGCACCAGAAGATCCAGTCGTCAGCATATGTGCGCATGTATTTTGTAGACAATGCGTATCTGAGCAAATGAATGGCGATGATACGACCTGTCGATTCCCCAAGTGCAAGAAATCACTCAATGTCTCTTTATTATATACGCTTTCTGCTTTGAAAGATTCGGGGGTTTGTGAAGAAAGTAGCAGCCTTATTAAGGAAGAGAAAAGTTCAGAGCCTGCCATAACAGAGTTGGATCAATCTTGGAAGACATCCTCCAAAATCGATGCTATGATGAATACATTGCAGGCCTTGCCAAAGGTAATTGTGCTTGTAGAAGATGGGAAGATTGTTAAGGGACCTAAAGCAGAAACATTATTGAAAGCAGAAGCTGTGGAAATTGATCAGGGTGAAACCCTGTCTTCTGGGTTGCCTGTCGTTTCTGAGACAACTGTTAGTAAAATCGACAAGGTTGAGTCGACTGAAAAAGCTATTGTATTTTCACAATGGACTAGCATGCTTGACCTCTTGGAAACTCCGTTGAAGAAATCAGGATTATGCTATCGAAGGCTGGATGGTACCATGTCAGTTGTCGCTCGAGATCGAGCTGTTTCTGATTTCAATACACTTCCAGAGGTATGCTTTTATCTTTCCCCATGGGATTAGTGGTATTTTTCCTTTCTACCAAAGCTCATGCTATGTCTACAGTTAATAAATGCGAGTCTTTTGCGAATCTTACTTGTGCTTATAATGAACTTGTTGCAGGTGACAGTCATGATTATGTCTCTGAAAGCTGCAAGCCTTGGGCTTAATATGGTGGCTGCAAACCATGTGCTCCTACTGGACGTATGGTGGAATCCCACCACTGAAGATCAAGCAATTGATCGAGCTCATCGTATTGGTCAAACTCGAACTGTCAATGTCTCACGATTCACAATTAAAAACACAATTGAAGATCGTATTTTAGCATTACAGGTTTGTTCAAAACCCATCTGTGCAATGGCTAAGGAATGTTTCATGTAACGCCACATGTCTTCTGAAGCTAAAAAAAACCTCTCTCTCTCTCTCTCTCTCTCTCTTTTCTTTCTTTCTTTCTTTCTTTCTTTCTTTCTTTCTTTCTCTTTTTTTTTTTTTTTTTTTTTTTTTTTTTGCGTGTCATGTGTCTTTCATTTGGTATGACAATCCTCACGTTTATAAGAGGGTGAACATCATGCAGGAGCGAAAGAGACAAATTGTGGCATCTGCTTTTGGGGAGAACAGCGGAGGTGAACAAAAGAATCGTCTGACAGTGGAGGACCTTCGCTACCTTTTCCGAGTCTAAGTGGTTCAGTGGATTTTCTGTACTTTTAAATTACTGCTGTTTTTGATATGTAATATTACCCAAACACAATAGCAGAAGCAGTGGGCTTTGTTTGACAATACTCGTAGGAGTTGGGCTGCTTTACCATTCGAGGGCCCCCGCGCTTAGTCTGTAGGGTAATTGGCAGTTTCAAATATTACATTTGATCCCTCTCTTGATATTGATCCGTAAGGCTGTAGTCACTATCTTGCTGATTAAATTATTTCCAAGGTAGTGTTGTGTCTTGAAGTTTCGGATTACAGGCCTGTGAAACTTTAGAACTTGGGTTTCTCATTCGTGAGTAACTGGGTAGTCGATTGGAATACTCCTGAAAGCACGAACAGTGAATTACTGAAGAGGCATTCTTTTCTTCAGTTTGTACACTAGATTGTATTAAAATGACGTCTTAATTAAGCGGATCTGGTTGATTTTTGCGAAACTTAAGTATTAATATATCGTACTGAGATTTCTATCGGATGCCACACCAAAATTGCTTGGGACTTAACAGTAATATTAGGTGATTGTTGTGTCGAAATCAAAAGCCTGATTTGTCATGTTATGAGTTATAGAGAGAATGTGATGTTATGAAATAACTCAGTTCTTAGCAATAGGTTAGTTTGGCTTAATCTGGGTTAGTTAACCAACTTAATTAGGTTTAGGGTTAATCCCACGTGTAGTTAGTTTTAGATATAGAGAGAAGGCTGCTGCTTCTCTCTCTCTCTCGTGTGCATACTTTGCTCATACTCTGAAAATTCTTTAGAAGTTTTCTCCTGCTGTGTTGTCCCGATTGATTATCTTATGTTGTGCATTGACTCTTTTGCTACCACATTGTTGCTTAGCTGGATTATATCTTGTACAATTGGTATCAGTGCGTTTGGTTTCTTGATGGTTCGTGGCTTGGGTAGTGGTGAGAGTTCGGTGAAGAGAATCTGTGTTGTGGGTGCTCCAGTCCTTGTGTTGACATTGATCCTGTGT